AAAGGAAGGAAGGGAGAAGGAAAGGGACAGGGGAATAAAAAAAAAGGAGGAAAGGGAGAGAAGGAGAACAGAGAGAGGGGAAAGGAGAGGCAGGAGGAAGGGGAGGGATGGAGAGGAGGGAAAGGAGAAGGGAGAAGAAGGGAGGGAAAAGGGGAATAGAGAAAGGGGGAAGAAGGAAAGAGAAAGAGGAAAAGGAAGAGGAGGGAAAGGCAAAGGTGGGGAGAAAGGGAAAGGAATAGAAAAAGGAGGAAGAAGGAAGGGGAGAGAGAAGAGGAGAAGGGAGAGAGGAGGGAAAGGAGTAAGAAGAAGGGAGAGGGAAAGGAGAATAGTGAAAGGGGGGAGAAAGGGGACGAGGGAGGAGAGAGAAAGGAAGAGAAGGATAGAGAAAGAGGAAGAAGGGAGATTGCAGAGAGGAGAGAAGGAAAGATGAAGAGAGGGAGGAAAAAGGAGAGGTATGGAAAGGGAAAGAAAGGGATACAGAGAAAGGGGAAATGTGAGGAGGAGAGGAAAAGTGAGGAAGAGAGGCCGGGAAAGAGACTGAATAAAAGAGGGGAGGGAAATAGGGAATGAAGGAAGTGAAGAAGGAGAAAGAGACAGAGAGAGGGAGAGGGGAGGGAAAGACAAAGGGATAGAGATAAAGGCTTGGGGAGCAAAATGGAGGCCTGAAAATGCCTTTTTCTTCTTAGCCATCCCAGAATCATCACTGCATGTTCACCCTGACTGAGAAAGCCTTAAAGAAACTCCCCTATAATGAAGGCTCTCTCAATGAGCAGTATAATGGGAACCAGTGGAGAAATACTTGGTGGGGCATGTAAATAAAGGCTCCTGAAAAACAGCCTGTGTTTCTCTGAGATTTCTGGAGACCACTGGCCTTACTTCTGTCTGAAGCTTAACTAAGGCTGGTCTTAACCTTGATAAAGTAAACGGCAGCCCAGTTGTGTATTGTCAGTGGCACCAGAAGGCTTTCTGCCCCCCCAAAACTTCCTCAGAATGGGTCAATCAACCACCCAAATGGGAGGAAAGCCGGATTTGAATCCAGGCCTTTTGTCTCCAAATCTAGCGCACTTTACAACTGTAAAATACCATATCTTAGTTTTATTTGATTCTCCCAACAATCCTGAGAGTAAGTAATCATTATTCACATCTCACAGGTGAGGAAAATAACGCTCTGAGATGATGAGTTACTCCAATCTCACAACTATTTAGGAGGCAGAGTCAGGCCTGGAATCCAGGGCTTTGGATTACAAGTCCAGTGTTCTTCCACTTAATAAATAACAGCTGTCACATCTGGAAATGGGGGCTTCTTTATTGGGGTGATGTACGAAACACAAGTTCCTAACGACTGTGCTTTCCTCAATTGCAGTCCTTCTCCCTTTGACCTCTAGAACACACTTAATTCCCATCTACAAACGTAAGTCTCTCGGTTATGAATATAAGCATCCAGAGGACAAGAACTGTTTCATGTTTTGACTTTGTATTCCAAGTTGCTGGTATACAGCAAGGGCTTGATAAATACTACTTAAATTATAGAATGTAACCAGATCATAGGATGATAGCTCCAGAGTGGGAAGGGACTTTAACCCTTTTTTTAGAGGAGGGGAGGGGGGTTAGGCAATGGGGTTAAGTAACTTGCCCAAGGTCACAGAGCTAGTAAGTGTTATGTGTCTGAGGCCAGATTTGAACTCAGGTCCTCCTGAATCCAGGGCCAGTGCTCTATCTACTGCACTACCTAGTTGTCCCTTAACCTTTTCTTTTTACAGACGAGGAAACCAAGGCCCACAGAGTGAAGTGATTTGCCCAAGGTCTTAAAGGTAGTAGACATTTACAAGCTGTGTGATCCTGGGTAAGTCATTTTACTTTACCTCAGTTTCCTCATCTGTAAAATGAGCTAGACAAGGAAATGGCAAAGAACTCCAGTATCTTTGCCAAGAAAACCCTAGTTGGAGTCACAGAGAGTTAGACAAGACTGAAAACGACTGAACAACCACCCAAAGGCACTAGAACTTCAATCAGAACTTGGATCTAGTAACAAGTTTAGCCAGCAGTCCAGGTTCAGAGATCTTTCCACCGCCCCACACTGCCTGTTTGAGCCTAGCAAACCAATAAACTTAGAAAAAAAATTCACTCCTCTAAAGCATCCTACTGGGCTTTAACTAGGTCAATAGCCTCAAAAATTTGACCAGCACCACAGACACCTCTCTCAAGATTTAAGGATAAGGTCCTCAAGGAAGATTATTGCACGACGTAGCTGCCCATAAAAAGTACAAACAGAATCAGGTTGTCTGTCAAGTTGATAATCACACAACCACCTAGAGAAGCAGGGCCCTAAAACTCAGCCTGGTAAGAGAGCCACAGCCTCATAATTGAACCCAACCTGCTGGTCTTGTCTTAATCCCTGGAAACCAAAAGAGCTTCTCATTGGTCTATGAAGGTCATTGGGAAATTAGAACAGAGTACAGTAGAAGCCAATGGCATTCAAGCTATGCTGTTATCATCCTTCTTCCAGAACAAAGAAGAATTCTTGAAATTATGTTCCTCTTTAGAGGAATTGCCGCTGGCAAGAGAGATATTCATCAAATAACTAGCTCCAGCAGGCTATCAAAAAGAGATGGACATCTGTTCCTCAGTTCTGGGTAATCAAGTCTGACCAGTTCCTACAGTTGGATGTGAGTCTTTACAATAAAGGTGATTCTTTTTTTAAAAGTTGTATTGAGGCCACTAAAATTTCTGAAGTGCACCAATGTGCTCATGCCCTATGACTCAGAGAAAAGGACAGAACAGGATATGGGCAGGAAATCGCTCTTTCTGCTATAGATCAATCTCAGACACAGTAGTCTAGGGGCATATCAGGCCTGCTTTATTGTTTACCAGGAATTCAATGTCTTCATTATGAGATCGGCTTGTTTACTAGGCTATTCTACTCCCCTGCCTGTTACAAGCTGAAAGATGACTTGATTGAATTACTCCTGCTGCAGAGCAGATGTCCTTGTTAGAAGCCTTCATTTACTAAGCACCTACTATGTGCAGAAGCTGTTGCATCATGGCATAGTGTGACTCCAGAGTCAAGAAGACCTGGGCTCAAGTCCCATCTCTCAGGGCTCCCCAAGCAACTGCAAAGTTACACATTTGCGAAGTAATTGCTGATCTACTTTGGCAGAGGGTTTTTTTCCTCATTGGGAGCTTGGTACTCTGAAAATATGCAAAGGCAGTATGGCCGAATGGACAGAGTGATGGATCCTGAGTTGGGAGTTTCTGGGTTCAAATCCCACTTCTGACATTTGTTACCTATGTCACCACAGGCATGTCACTAAAGCTCTGTGAGCCAAGGCAGGGCTAAGATTATATTACACACTGCTTTTGACCTGCACCAAGGAAGGATGTTTCAGGACTGATGAAATCAAAGCTGTTTGATGCACTGGCCAGCTGGGGAAAGTTAAAAGATTCTGGGACAGATTTCACCTCAGAAACTAAGAGACGTCAAATAGAGAGATGTGTGCTCACCAAAAGTGTTCACCAATGGTCTCTGGAAGATCCCAAATAGAAGGGGGATTCTCTATTGAAGGAAAAAGTTCTCTAGATGTTGCTGTTTGTAGAAAATAATAGGTTTGCAATCCCAGAACACTACTATATAGAAAATACTATATAGTTTATGTATAAAATGAATAAAAACTGGGCCTGGCTTTCACTGAATCTAACAGGCAAATATCACACATCATGATTTACTGTTTGTTTTTTTTAAATATTTCTCCCAAACAATTAGACAGAAAGCACTGTGCAAAGTCTGAGAGGTGAAATATCCTTTAAGAGTCATATTAGTCCTACTATGCAAATAGGACCATGCCACGAAGCAGAAGTGATACAGTCTCTCATTTCTCCAAGGTAATTCTAGAGAGTCACCACTGTCCTCAAAGAAAAAAAGAAGAAAGATTAAGAGGAAGCCTCTGGGATAGCATCCCAATCTTAGGCCTCCATTACTCTCATTACCGACTTACCGCCCTTCATATTTCATCAAGAGGAGAGAAAATATGAAAGCCATTCACATTGCCACTTGTCCAACCACATTTCTTCCTTTCTCCTGGAAAGGTTAAGTCTTCTTTCACTGCTGTAACATTTCTCTTCTCCACCCTCTCCCCAACCCCATAACATGTGTCTGATGCTAAAGGACAAAGGAATCTTAAAAGTCTCAGGGATTTGCAGGATGTGTGTCAAGTACTGTTTTTCTAAAAAGGGGATTTAGTGTTCATGGAAAGTATTATTTTCCAGATAGAGAGCAGTTAAAAAGAATGGCTAACAGATGGGGAGTCCAGTGCTGTCAGAGGAATGACCGAGTGAGGAAGAGTTATCAAATGAGGTCCCATGAGGTGGAACCAGATTAGGGCCATGAGACAGCTCTGGTGCTTTCTCTGTTGTATCCAAAACATCAAATGACATTCACTGTAACCTACTGAAGTCATATAGTGGACAACCTATGGAACATACCTATCAGGAACCATTTATAGGAGAGACATTTAATGAAAGCATGGGGATTAGGGTACCTAAATGCAGCTTAGTTTTCATCCTATTGTAATTATTTCATAAGACTTTGGCCAAGTGAAGAATTATGCACAGCCTCCAACTCATAAAATGAATTTAATTCATGCCCTCCATGACCTTGTACGAGAACATTTGCTCCACAGTGTTGCGTTTAGAAGGCAGCATGGGATGATGGCAAGAATGGTCTTGGAAGTCAGGAGACCCAATCAAGTTACTTAACCTCTATCTGCCTCAATTTCCTCATCTGTAAAATGGGGATAAATAATGGTATCTCCCCTACAAGGTTGTTGTAAGGACCAAGTGAGATAACAGAAATGCTAGCTATTATTAACGTTGATGATACTTCACTACAGTACTGCTTCTGTGTCCAGGGAAGTAACTGAAGTTTGTGAAATGCTTATAATTAATTATGTTGGAAGTTCAGTTCCAAATTCAGCAACCTTGGCCTAGCTTAAAAGAGGACTTACCATCAAAATGCGCCTGTAGCTATCCCGATCGATGCCCCAAAGTTTGAGGTCGGTCTTGGCTTTGACAGTGGCAGCCCTTGGTGTGCCATAGATCAGCGCAAGTTCTCCAAAACTGCCTCCTTCCCCAATGTTGGTCACCCATTCCATATTCACGTACACCTACAGAAAATAAGCAGAAACAGAAAGAAAGGAAGACAAATTAGAGAATTCTGCTATTCCTTTCCCTGGCAGCTAACCTAAAAAGGTAATAATCTTCCTCCCCCTTCCCCTCTCTTCCCCATCCTCCAACAAAATCTAGAATAGAAGCAAAGAAAACAACAGTCAGTTTCTTTGCTCCATCATAAAGGAGTGACAACCAGCTCTGTGGACAGAATTCCAAGTCACCTAGCTGGAAGACACTGATTGTATTGATTCAATGCCTTCCTTCCTTCCTTTCTTCTCTTCCTTCTTTCCCTTTAATTCCTTCCTTCCTTTCATTCTTTCCTCCTATAGGTTATTGGTTTCAAGCTTCTCTTTCTGGGCTTCTAACACAGAACCAACAAATCAGATGGGCATGACTTTAGCCATTTAGTAGCAATGTCAAACCCCAAAGACGAGTTAATAATTTTAATGAGGTTGGGAAGTAAGTAGCAGAACTGGGAGCTTGGGAATAAAACAAAACATTTTCTGCCAGGGCCATCTGACTCCTGAAAGTGATTTTTAAACACATGCTTTAATGAATCCAAAGATTACTGGAGCTATGGAAGAGATTCTAAACTTAGTTCCTCAAACTACTGCTTACCTCTGGCCACCTCATCATTTTGTTTGAATTTTTAAAAAATGTTTTACTGATGCTCTTTTAAAAAATTACTGTCACTTCCTATTCACTTGTGTGTGGTCTTCCCCCATTAGACTGTAAGCTCCTTGAGGGTAGACACTGTCTTTCTTTTTCCCTAGAGCTTACACACAGTGTTTGGCACAAAGCAGGTGCTTAATAAATGTTTACTGACTGACTTTTTAGAAGTTATGATTGTCACTGTATTGATCACAGAGAACTAAGATCTTTCAGTCTTATTTCCCTTTACGTTATTGGGTCCATCGCGTAAATCATTATCCTAATCTGTTTATTTCCATCCATACTAGTTCACTGGTTTTCAAGTTTCTCTGAATTCTTCATGTTTGTCATTTTTAAGACATAACAATATTCTATTACATTCATATGTAACATTTTAATCAGTCATTCCAGTTCTTTCTATGATAAGTGCTGCTCTAAATATTTTTTGTATATGTAGGACCTTTGCCTCTTTCTGTGATCTCTTAGTCAATCCCTCACTTTGTAGGAGAGAAAGAGAAGGAGAAGGAGAAGGAAAGGAAGAAGAAGAAGAAGCCAACCTAATCGATGTCCTCAGGAGCTTACAACAAGACAGACAAAAATCAGTTATGTTCAAATGTGATAAGTATGTAGGAGAGAGCAAATTAACAATTGGGAAGAACTTACTTTAACTCTTTTCTTGTCACTCCAACCATTATTCATTTACCACCACCACTCACCACATATCTCTTCCCACCTATCCACTCCATGGATGGTTTTTTCTACTCCCACTGGCTCCTGTATGAATTCTGATGCCCTTTGGAAAACACTAATATTGATGTCTTTTCTCTTATTAACAGCAAGCTCTAGAGTGCTTTGGGTCTCAGGGATGAATGGAATCACTATGACTCTGCTACTTCTGCTAAGCTGTATCAGACCAGAGGTCCCTTTGGACAAGATTCCCTTTCAACCTATGTGGGTTGACGTACTATGCATTGACTGTGCAATTCGAATTCAATCTAAGAATAGTAGCAATTGTTTATTATGCCACTATTATGCAGCTTCAGTTACTATAAATTGACACAATGCATTCTTTATTCTCTCAGTGTGTCAATGAGCTCAAAGAATAGTACCCATTAGCAAAATGGGTGTATATGCAGAAGAGAGAATGTATTCCAAAGGATCGTGGAAGCTGTTGTGATTGAAATCAATGAAGGATTATGTTTATAATAACTAATAACACTACTAGCAGTGCTTATTTTTTTAAAGTGATAGCTTGGTCTAGGTTTCTGAGTTCCCCCCAACTATCCGAAGGATTTGGCTAATGTCCTTCATTTAAAAATTAATTTGAAGAGTCAAAGAGAAGCAACATTTTATATGGGCTAAACAGAATATAAGTAGTTTATGTCCGTTCAAGAAAAGCTTTAATGGATTTAATAAGTCAGAAAAGTATTTCACCTCCCAGGCTGAACTATTTCATCCAAGTTTCATAACATCCAATTCCTGCTCATTCCATCCAGGGCACACAGAGAGAGCAAGGATGGGGCACTTCTAATTAGATGGCCAGGATGAATAAACAGACCGCATTAACTGAACTCCCGCACAAATGGCAAGAAGTTAGAAGTAAGCTGATATTCAGAAGAGAGGAAGGACCCTATTTCAGGTTAGGCAGCTCCATAAATCTGAATGCAATTGCATTCTTAACTGGGTACACTGAAAAAGTTAGAAAGATTTCGTACTTCTCGATTTCTCAAGAATAATAAGACAGGGAACTTGGGGGAGGGGAGAGTCCTTGGTTGGGATCCTCAAAATTCAAAAATCCCTTTTAGCAACTTAGTGTTTCTTCTCAAGCTGGATAAATTCTCAGGGATCACTTAATCTAACCCCTTCACTTTGAGTCTGTTTTGCTTATTCATAAGAAAGTAAAGTGACTGGCCCAGGGTCACACAGTGGTAGAGATAATACTAGACCCAGACTTTTGCCTCTCAGCCAAGTGAGTGACTGACCTCTACCCACACATACATGCCTCCACTCCTCCAAGGCTGATTGCTCTCCTTAAACTATTATCTACCAGATAAAGTCTGTCAACTCACAGAAAATGTTGTCTCAGGCAAAACTGTAAAGTCAGCCTCACACTTCAGTATAAATTTGTTCCTCCCTTACTCTTAATTCTAAAAACCATTTTAAAAAAATAGATTTTTATGGATATCTTTTTTTAACTGCCTAGATTTTCCTCTGTATCCCTTTCCTCCAACCTCCCTGAGAGCTGCCCTTTATAACTAATAGTGTGCTGATACATGTTTAACAACTGCATCTCCAGAGGAAAAAAATTATGTATGCACAACAGATGTAAGTTGTATTATTAACATTTTCTCAATCACTTTCTTAAGACTAGACAATCAACAAAACAATAAATGAAGCCCTGATTTGTAGCATTTGCCAATTTCTGAGGTCTAAAAGCTCACACTGGGGATTTAACAATTGACTCTTCCAAGCCAGTACAAGCTTGTTCCAGCACATGCTTGCTTATTAGAGATTTCTTTCTTTTTTTCTTAGAGAGGGAAAAAATGAAGAAAATTCAGCAAGATGGAGTAATACCTTACTGACATTATCTGCAATGTTCCACACCTGTGGATCCCCACACCTGCAGAGGTGTGGAAAGAGGTTTTCTCACATTTCCTATGAAGCCACTGGTAATAACCAATCTGTGGTCAGTGTGTTACTCGGCAAAGTAATGTGTTTGCAAGCAGGGCTCTCAGGAAGCAATGTTTAACCCAGAGGGAATAACTAAAATGGCAGAAATTTCAGGCACAGTTGAGGTATGAGACCCCATTAGTGTGCCTCAAAATCAAACCAGTTCGCAGGATGAGCCCAGCTAAACACCCATCCCAATCCTCTGTTAGGAGGCCCTTTCATGGAATGAGTCTACTCTGAGATCACTAAAAAGTGGCCCTCATCCTTATGCTTGGCTCCCACAGTGACACCTACCCTCTCCACCCGTATCCAAGTACCCATCCCAACTGTCTCTTGAACCCTCTTTGACAATTTGTGTTTTCCTTCTGTGCCGCACCCCTCCCTGCACTGCCCTCTCTTCAAATACACTCCTTATATCAAATGCAATGACCTACATTCTGTCTCTATTGCTACTTCCCCTTACTATGTCCCTCCTCCACTTTCCCAAGGCTAAACACATCCCATCCCTGGGGTTTCAAACATTCCCCTTTCTATGTTTCCTAATAAAGCTAGATAACAATATTTCTTTAAACATTCCAATTTATTATTTATTTTAAACATTCTTTTCTTTTTAAATTTTGAGTTCCAAATTCTCTCCTTCCTGGCCACCCCTTCTCACACCTACTGACAAGGCAAGCAGTAGGATATCAATTACACATGTGAAATCATGCAAAACATATTTCTACATTAAAGCTAGATAACTTTACAGGTTGCCTGGTCCCTTTGGGATCTAGAGGAGGACAGGTTCTAACAGCATAGCCTACTCCTTCTGAAGCAGACTCCAATGTCCCCACTTGAAGAGATTGTTTCTTGAATACTGGTTTGAACATACAAGTCCTTAAATAGCAATAAATAATGAACTGGCATTTATATAATGCTTTAAGTATGTTATATTATCTCATTTGAGCCTCACAATGAGATCAGGTGAGGTGACAAGTATTGTTATTATCCTCCTCTGTAAGATGAGAAGACTGAGGCTAGAACAGGTTGTGAATTGCCCGCAATCACAGCTTTAAAGTATCAGGGGCAGGATTTGAATCCAGGCCTTCCTGACTCTAGATTTAAAACTCAGGCAGCTAAATAGTGCTGTGGATAGAGCACTAGACTTGAAGCCACAAAAATCTGAGTTCAAATCCTGCCTTAGACATTTATTATCTATATTACCCCAGACAAGTCATTTAACTTTCTCAGTCTACTTGTCTTTAAAACAGGGATAATTCAGCATCTACCTCCCAGGGTTACTGTAAGGCTCAAATAAAATAATATATGTAAAGCTCTTTGCAAACCTTGAAGAGCTACATAAATATTGGCTATATCATCAATGCAGACCAACACCAACATAAATATAACATGTAGCCATGCTTATGGCTCCATTGGTGGTGGCAGGATCTAGGCTATATTTAGAGTGTATTCTGCCTCCCAGATTGGATGGAGCCTAAGACTAAAGACGACAAAAGAAAAAAAGGGGGGAAATGGGACTCAGGTTTTCTAAGGTACACTTTGCTTTATTGCGCTTTGCAGATACTACGTTTTTTACAAATTGAAGGTTTGTGGTAACCTCGAGTCAAGCAAGTGTATTGGCACCATTTTGACATACACAATCAGAAGAAAAAAACTGCTTCACCAATTAACATGT